TTTTATTTGAGCTTTCTGCAGGGGCAGTTGGCATTTGGGAAATATAGTCTCCTTTGACTTTCAGAGAAGCTTCTACATGGTTCCACAGAAAAGAATATACATGTGGAAAGAGAGAGAGGGATGACACATACTTAAAATTGTGTCACCATGAGGTGTGTGTGTGTGCGTGTGTGTGTGTGTGTTGGGGGTTTTATTTTTCATCTATAGAATATCACGAAACAACAGCTGTGTGTATGTGGATACTGCTGTGGGTAAGGTGTGAGAAGAATATTTCCTGAGAAATGATGAAGACTATTTGAACTTAGCAACGTGAGGGAGAAAGCACTTGCTCGTGGGTGGCCTTAAACTTTTAGGTGGCAAAAAGCCAAGCAGGCAGGGCTAGATTACAAAGGAGAGTGCTTAAGTCTCTGCGATTAACTGAGGAGACACTGCTACGTGAAAACAAGAGTAAGGCCTTATGCTGAACAAGAAATAATCCAAGCTATATTTATAAAACGAATGGCTCTATCAGCTCAATTTGTTGCTCTCTGTGTGTGTGTGTGTGTGTGTGTGTGTGTGTGTGTGTTTGTATTTGACATCACCAAGAAAAACGTTTGAAAAACATTTTTTTAAGTGACCCTTTGGTACCTACAGCCTGAGAATAGGGTATCTTGTTCTGGCTGCCACATTCACCAAGCTGTGAACGGGTCGAGAGAAAGCCCAGTGGCAATCGTGAGATGCCAACTATCTAGACAGATGGGTCCCAAATCTGGAGACATGAATCTGAAAAGTCTGGCTGGGAGGAAAGGGGACCTTCTAAAACAGTAAGACCATGAGTGACACAGAAAAGATAAGCACAGATATTTTTTCCACAATATTCTGAAATTCTTGAGTGAGAGAAATTTGGATCAAGTAAAGGAAATGCCACTTCACGCCACAGATAGTAAAATTAAAGAGGCTTGTTATTCATACTTTCAAGATGTGGTACTGGCAGGAGATAGGAATGGATTAGGAAGGATTTGGAGGACTTGTGGCTGCTGGGAGAAGCTGGGATCTACCTAACCTTAAGGTACAGAAAGTGATGCTCCCTCCAACGGACCCCTTCGGACCGCCCCTTTGGGCCCACCGTTGCCAGAAGAGCCCAGACGACTCTGGGCTAGGCTCAGAATTCCTGTGGTTTTGGCTACGGGTGTTTCTGATTTGCCCCTGTCCCTCCCTCCCTGGAGCCTCCATCAGTGCGTTGGCTTCTAACTAATGATACGAGCAGATCAGAGTCAGAACATTATTTAGAGAGGAGGAGGAATTTGCCCAATGCCATTTCACTCATTCATTCATTCAACAGATATTTGCTGAGCACTTGCCACGTGCCAAGTACTAGGCATGAAATGAAAAACTATCGTGATCCTTGGGGACAACAACAATAAACAAAACAAATATGTAGTGATAAATGACGGAGATGCTACAAGGCAAGGAACACCAAGGCCAGAGGGGAAACCATTGTGTGTATAGTGGAGCTGGGAAACAACTAAGAAAAGCTGGCCAGAAAAGGACTCCCTGAAGAGGAAACC